AGCCAACAGGTTTCGATGGACTGAGGGTATGGGACTTATGCAAAGAGGTTCAGCTACCCCAACCTCTGCAGATGCAAAGTCCCAAAGATCCCATTACAACTATTACTTGGCTCGCACAAAACAACAGTATACAGGAAACCTTGTGCTGCGGGACAGGACTGGGCTACTTGCTGATCTGGAGGCAGCGCCCACATACTGTGGTCGAATTCGAGGAAGTAGTTGCCAGGAGGATTAGTGGGGGGCATGAAATCATGGCCATTGCTTTGGATGCAGGTAACGGCACAGGAACTTGTATCATCATAACGATGTGGGACAAACGAGTTCAGACCTGGACAATAGATTCTAGGAATCGACTGTCAAATGTCTTCAGCGTCGAGTTAACGACGTCCATTCTGCATGCTGTGTACCTCCGAGGCTGCGACATCATAGTTTTCTGGATGTATGATGGAGACATGTAAGATGATAGGCCTGAGACTTGCAAATACAGATCTAATGAGATTGCCCTTTGCAAGCCATGTTCTACGAAGCGACAATGGGATGGTCGTCGAAACAAGGTCTACAGGAATGACAACGTGAGTAAGAGATCTTCAGTCTCAGCAAACCAATTGATCTGACCTGTACTTAGGGGCTCTGCATGTGTCGACAAGACGGGAAGTTTATTCATCATAGACAACGCTATAAGTGGATTTAGCCTACATCGACTGAATGATGGAAGCTGCATAAGGATGTACGATACCAAACCACTAAAAACATACCCCAAACAAGTAGCCTTTGCGGAGGACGGCACTGATGATCGTTGGGGGATCTGATAATGGGTTAGTATATATCTTCGAAATGAATACTGGAACCAAGCGACAGGTGCTACGGCACTCAAGGATGGCACAGACACAGACAATTATGGTGAGCATCCCCATAAATGTAGAAACCATCTTACACCCACATGTACCAGACATATGACGGAGAGGATCATACAGGGATCGTTGCAGGCATCTTCCAATAACAATGCAGACAATACGATAACAGTCTGGAAAAAGCTGAAGAGGGATTTGCAATCGCAGCCAGGGAAGAAAGAAAGCTCGTTGCAGGCCCTGTTTGGGGCTATACGTGCCACAATACAATTCTTAATGCAACTACTCACCATTGCCTTCGCAGTGAAGCTCGCCTACAATGTTGCGGTTAGTTACCGCCTATCCAATCAACTTAATACCGACTGACCAAAGGCAGATCATAGGAAAGCCACTGTGGAGAATGATTTAATGATTGAATTTGTCAGTAAGAGACGTAGAGTTGACATGTACGAACTTTAGCGGTGTCTTTTGATGTGGACAACAGGATGGAAGAATGGTCTAGGGGTATGTAGTCAGATTGATAACCAAGTAAACAGCATACACTGTGCTTATCTTTATTGAATGCGCATACGCAATTTCATTATATCTTCGTCTACACTCGTATTATAGATTATTCGGCTCATGTCGAATGTTTAACTCGTTGACTGGTCACATTCGCACCATCTTTGCAAATACTACATACTACTATCAATACTGATATAATTCTAATTATTCTAATGCTACGGTGTCTAATGCTAATGGGCTGCGAGCGAAGAGGGTTAATAGAATGCCAAGTATTGAGAAGCTGACGACTTACCTGTAGGTGGTGGAAAGAGGGAAAAGGTGTTCATGAGAAAAGTTGTTGTTGATATACTGAACGCAACTCACGATCATGTGCTCAGTGTTTAGTAGTGGTGAAGTAGTGGTTCTTTGCTGTGGCTACCACGTGATCGTGAGTTGCATTCAGTATGTCAACTGACTGACTTTTCTCACGAACACCTTTTCCCTCTTTCCACCACCTACAGGTAAGTCAGTTGCTTCTCAATACTTGGCATTCTATTAACCATCTTCGCTCGCAGCCCACCACTCTAGCGTTAGACACTGTAGCATTAGAATTAGACTTACATCAATATTGATAGTAGCCTTTGCAATTAGAACTAGAATTAGATCAATATTCATAGTAGTCTGTGATGACAGTGCGATGCAACCGTCAACACGAAACCTAAACTTCAAATGATTGCTATCGACAGTAGTTCATACTGCGGCTGTCATCAATTTAAGCATCCGACATGAGTCGAACAATCTACAGCTGCTCCAGTTAACCATATACATCCAGGTCCGTTACCATCGTTGCTGATGCGTATCTTGCTGCGACGGCGGCGATTATGTCAGTTCTTTTCTTTTCTTTTGTTTTCGCAAAGTAAGTCACCCATTTTTGCGACTGCATTTAATAACTAACGCACGTCAAACACAAAAAACGCATCAATTTTCCATCAAAGAATCCCCTCCCCCCCTGTGGAAGATCCCTCAAATTAGTCATGTATTCAGGTGTATTTCCAACACTGCATACCCGTTACTACTGGCAGGTCACGTACTAACCCCGTGTACATGTTTAATCAATCAACTAAGCATCTTTAGGTCATTCATTAGCTGCCACGATTAATTTTTAGTTGTCCTCCAATGCAATATTGCAGTTTTCTGGAATATTACATGTCAAACAAAAGGCCCATCAGCTGTTACTGCAATTTGGATGTAGTGACGTAAGTGGGTGATGAGCACTATTACAATCAAATGAGGGCGACCGCGATGGCAAGGTTGATATTGAGAGTTCCTGAATTCTGGCAACACTTTTGTTGCAGTAGGCGACCAAATGCAGTGTCAAGTTAGGTAGTCTATTGTGTTGTCTGATAAAGCCTCTGGTGTCCTCTGCGTATTTAATGGGTTAGCTGGTGCAACATCACCAGGTGTGAAGCCATGCTGGTGTGTACTAGATATTTTCTCACTCTTATTACTAAATGGTATGCTAACAGAAGAATTTGTGTGGGCAGGTTCCCAAACGCAAAGTAGAAGATACCCCGGGACCACCTTACAAAAAGGTGAGGGGTACTTCCCGCCAGCCACCCATATGCAGTCGCAAGGCAGATCCTGGTGCGAAACCTCTCATGCAGTCATTTGGGCGGGTTCCCAAGTGCACAGCAGAAGACGATGCCATGGGGCTCCCTGCAAAATATGTAAGTGGCCAGCAATGTCAAGATTTGACCTTTCCTCATAGCATCTAGGAGGTGCCCCGAGATTGCCATCTGTCATGAGTTCCAGATGAACTGCTACTGGAAATTGTGGACCTGTTGGACACAGATTCACTTCGAAGGTTGTCCCAAGTATCCCAACGACTACAACGCGTTGCCAGTCATTGTTATTTTGTCTCGGTAGGCTTCAGGCCACCGATTGCTGGTTGGCTGGATGTGAATGAGGTAGTTTGTAATGCCCTCCCTGTGTGGAGGCATGTTGCATTTAAACCAGTGAAGACTTTGTGGTTCAGGTCTTCACAAACATTAAGCAGGCGACAATTAGGTGTGTGTTTGCACTCTTCCTTAATGAAACATTAAGCAGACGGAAGCTAGGTGCAATGTGTGCGTTCTTCGACTCCCTCAAGGATATGCAAGCAGTCTGTCAAGTGCACTTGCACTTATATATTGATCCAATGGGCATGTCCCCCATATTTGGTTCTCTGCTAGAAAGTATACTAGGCTCCGGGTGCACTGAACTTCATGCAAGTAGCCACAGTGCTTCTGGTGGCTTGATCCATATTCCTCGCATGACCCAATTGTTTCCAAGCACCTTGACATCTCTCAATATCTCGTCGCCTATGTTCTTTTTTCCACACTCTATCTGATTTACCCTCTCTGTGCTGCGAAGTGCTCCACTGGCAGTTTTACGGCTTAATAATACAGGCCTAAGTCCTTTACAGTGGGCGGTACTCCTTGGCAAGGTAAACCTACCTTCCCTCATTGAATTGGAGGTGGACCAGACTTGCCCATATGATGCCCTCACTACCTGTCTAATTGCACATCAGGCTATCTCCAAGCTAACTATCTCCCATTGCGGCTTTCCTACCATGTCTGTGGAAGATATCACTCCTCGTTCTGTCCTTCACTCCCTTCGAAAGCTTGCAGGACCTGCTACCAGGATCCTCCCCCTTCTGAAGGTAATTACCCTTCCCAGTGACTTCCAATGCCTATACATTACATTTCATCCCTACCATCCTGAAAGAAATCAAAATGTCTTTTCCTGACATTTTGTCAGTGTGCAGAATACCTCCCGCGTCTTTCCCATCTTGAAATCTCAATGCCCATGATCACTTCCGCTGACGAGCTTGCAGCATTCGTCACATTCCCAATAACTGACAAGCGCATAATCCCTGTGAGAGACCTCACTTTTAGGGGAATCCACCCAATCCTTAGTACTCCAGATGTCTTCGACACAATTGTAAGTTCTTCTCTGCACTTACTTTGTTGCCTCTAACTGTTTTTCAGGGTCACTGCAGCCCTTGGCTTAGAGCATTTCCTAATGTTCATGTGCTGCATATCGCATCAGGTAGACCCCTCCCTCTCGATAGATACAAGGCTATTTTCTGCCCCTTCACTCAACAAAATGTGGAGATCACGATTATTCCATACCAGTATTGATGATTTTACTTGAACATATGCCGTCTACAATGGACATGTTGGAGCGTATTGAGATCGAGTAGAGAATTACCTTGAATACCAGTGGCACCCTCTGCAATCAATGCGAAGTTAACCACACTGACCGCATCCCCCCAGGAAATGTACACCTCACTTCACTCCCCTGCCACCCCTCCCGCTAACATGACACATGTTAGCCCCCTAGTGCCCCTTCTGCTCCACTCTATACTAGGATGGTCCGAGATACTAATCCATGTACTAATGCTGGAGCTCCTCTCTCCCAGGCATAGTACATACAGGATGTGATAAACTTGTAAAGATGCTTGTGTCAAAGGTAAATTATGTCAAAATATATACATAGTCAAATCGATAACTATATGATGCAACTATAGGAGAAGCACTGACGAAATGTCAGTAAATTGATTATGATTAGGCTGAAAGACCTACCTTGTGGCATCAATCAGTCATGCAGCAACTGACCAGGCAAACATCACAGTAATGGAAGCTGAGTCCCATCCTCTAATACCACCCCTTTCAGGGATTTCTTAGTTTGACATTTATTGATGCGGTGAATTTTGCTTTGGAGCACGCCCTTCAGTATTAGGCAGAACTGACCAGTACTTGTTGGGTTGGTGGGGGACAAGTTGCATGCCGGAATAGTGTGGTGTTCGATGATGGTGCTTACTGTGCTTGAGGTCATGGTAACCGACACATGCCCAGGAGGTGCCACGCCATGCTTCTCCGAAAAGAAATGATCTGGAATGGTGGTGCAAACCACCCGCTTGCCCAGGGTCCCGCGATTGTAGGCAAGCCCGACTCTCAAGCAGACATGCCACTTGCTGAAGTTACAAAAGTCGTTGTCAAAGAGCCAAGACACACATCCTAAACAACAAAGTCAAGAGAATGTGTAGCGAGAGGGGGGAGAGAATTGACGTACCATAGTCAATGGTTTGTCGCTCCTGCTCACTGCGACATTGCAGATTGACATCATCGGGAGTGGTGACCCAGGGGTTGCTTGGACCTGGATCTGCTGAGGGATTTTCGCTTGGCAGCGGAGGCAGAGTGGTGCTGCGACATCGAGATTGAGTTATGAAACACCTCTGTTGCATATGGTTGAATGCCGCCAAGCACGAGGGACCTAGTGGTGTCCCATCAAGCAAGATGCCAAATCTAAAAAGGAAATATCAGCGCATGACCCCTAGCAATGAAGTGACTTACCTGGAGGCAACTGCAGTATTTTTGAACGTCATGGCGCTGGAATGGATTGCAACCGTACACGAAGTTCAGCCTACTAATCACAGCGTCCCACTGTATCCCTTATTTGGACCCGAGATGATCCATACTTCACATCCAATATGTCGTTCTGCATCACGAAGGGAGTAGTCCCTTAATTTAGCGCAGAAATTAATAGGAATGTTGTGCTATGACGCCTTTAGAGATGGGATGACAGGCAAAGTAGAACCACGTACCCATGGACCGTCTTCAGACTCCAGTGTAAGGGTTGCAGTGATCAGGTCGACACTGCGAACAACTCCTTTGACGTCTACAGCAGGACCCCATATGACTTGTATTAGGTTGCCTTTAGAAACGTCCCACCCCTTCTCCTTCGAGAACTGCAGTGTTGGTCAAGCTGTCACTTGGACGTCGTCCAAGTTGACAATGATCACCTCCTCATCGTCAGCCCCATCGCTGTCGCTGTCCTTACTGGGAACCTCTGGTACTTGAGCCTTGGACTTGCCTTTGTCCCCCTTGGCATCTTCGTTGTCGAATGCCTTTTCGATGTGCCGTGTGACCCATATTTGTCTGAGGCTGTGGGAGAAGTATTGCACTCGGCCTGCGAGGCCCCTGTAGGGTCTGCTGATGATACATACCATGTCCCCAGGCTCTATGAAGTGCTCTTCAACTGGGGGATGGTGTCGCAGTTGATCATGGGGGTCTTGGTTGGGATAGCTCAGCAGCACTCTGTGTGATGCTAGGAAGATCGTAGGGATGTCCATCTATGAGCAAGCATTAGCAAAGGATTTTACTCCGAATACCCTGACTTGCCTGTTGTCCACTGTTGCCACACAAAAGAGCCATGTCCTCGATCACGTTGACACTGAGTACCATGCCCTCAAAGCCACAATGAGGGCCAGCAATGACATCCACTGAATCGCCACTGCGAAACTTGCATTTGAAGTCGTGAATTGAAATCTCCAGAGATGTAGGCAATTCCAGAGTAGGATTATCCAAACGAACAATCACTGATTCACCTTGGATGTCCATCACGACGTATGCTACCTCGTTGACAAACTCCCCAGCCTGAATCTTGCCACAATCTCCTACCTGCCACTTTTGAGTGGAGAAATGAGTCAAGGTACGTGCAACCAAAGTGGGATCCACGTCCGACATGACAAACCATGCAATTTTCTCAGGAGTAGGCAAGCTCACCAGCTCGACATTATGCCTCTGAAAACGCCTGTGAAGAAGGCCACAGTGGTACTGAGACTGGAGGCAGTGGGCGATAGTATGCCCCTCCGGACTCGGGGTAAGGATTACCTCCAGGCCATGTTGGCGGGCCAGGTCCACATCAAAAAGCTCCCGGTGGGCCGCAGAGTTCTCACCACTGGAGATGTAGGGCAAATTCCAAGGAACGATGAGAAGGTACACCGAGTTGCCTTCGATGCACTTTACATAGGCAATTTCGTTCTTGAGACCACTTGTTAACAAGCGAACCCAAGAGTGAACAGGTATGTCACTGGGCTGCGCAAAGGGTTCCATTTCTTCCATTGGTACTGGCACGATCTGTGGGACAAGATTGGCGTGTGAAGGGGGAAGCCTGAGTCGGACGTCTTGCGCGCTGGGAGCTTCCACATAAATGTGGCAAGGGACTGAATGGAAAGTCTTGCATTTTAGGCCTTCCAGCTTGAAGTGCTGGAGGATGAATCCTGCAGAACGAGCTAATGGAGACTAGGTGAGTTCCCAAGCAAAGGAGTGAAGAGGAGACAGGACGTACCAGAGGGCAGCACGACCTTGAATACTCTTGGCTGAGTCCGATTCGTACCCACCTCCATATGACCTTCAACACTGCGAACTGGGCCCTGCTGATGCGCCTTCGCCCTCGACCCTTCTGCACTCCCCTCACCACTGTAGCGACGAAAAAGGCTTTCAAGCTGTTGAGTTAAATTTGCATGCCCCGACAGAGGTATCTCGGTCACCCTTGGACAATGGTTAGCTTTGTCATCTAGCTCATCTTCCTCTTCGTCCTCTTCGTTCTCCCATGCAGAAATATCCAGATATCAGGAAGTGGACTTGCTCATTCTTGGATGCTTCGCTGGGCGTAGAGAGCGGTGGGATCTGCATGAGCTTTTGCCTGATTGAGTGGTTAGCGAGGGATCCAAAACCGAAGGTGAACATTAGCTTACGAGTCTGCAATGAAGAAGCTTGGGGGGAGAGGACCACATGGGAGACGTCGCCTGCAAGATACAGTATGAATTGGTTTATGAAATTTCTTTGAGAAATTTACTTACAGGAGGAAGAAGCCTGAGCAGGGGGGGCATTGCGTGCACCTGGAGGATGTCAGTAAATCGTGAGGATTTAAAGATCTACTTACTAGAAGGCTCAACGACGCCACGCTCAGCCATGGCTGCCCTAACGACCTCAACAGCGGTACCCTCCTAAGACGCTTCAAATACTTGGTCGAAGATGGACTTCCACTCAGTCGAACTGGTACCTGTCGCCTGAATTTCTCCATCTCCTGTCAAGAAATTGGTGAAGGAGAGGCTATCATCAGCTGCCCAACACAAAACCAACTGCCATGCAGCAGCATCTTCCAACAGGGGAACTACTGTGACTACCTTAGCTTGTGCGAGCTCCCGTGCAGCCTTGATGGTGTTTATCCCTACTGCCCTTCGGATTCAATATGATGATATCGATCAGGTCTATCCATTCCTCCAATTTGAAGGCGATACCCGCGACGGCAAGCTCGATTTCGACATTGAATAGAAGGGAGGTGTCAGTGACATCATTGCATGCAAACCTCTCAAGAAAGGCAAAAGCCTTGTCATTGAGGAGAGTGGGGGTGATTTCGACCTTTGGTTCCATTGATAGCAGGGGTGTTGTCAAAAGAGCTGGAAGTAACTAGTGAGTGGTAAATGGAGTGAGGGGGGAAGTACTAACGAAGCAATATAAGGCAACGATTTCCGCTATTTGAGGGGGGGGTGCTAAGCTCGGCAAGCAGAACTGCTATTGTCCTGGACAATAGGACAAAAGATGGTGTCTTTTGATGTGGACAACAGGATGGAAGAATGGTCTAGGGGTATGTAGTCAGATCGATAACGGAGTAAGCAGCATACACTGTGCTTATCTTCATGGAATGCACTTCATATCATTGCTTCTAAGCCATCGCCTCATGTATACCCAACTTTATTATATCTTCATCTACATCTACACTGGTATTATAGGATTGTTCGCTCATGTCGAATGTTTAAATCGATGACAGCCGCAGTATGAACTACCATCGATAGCAATCATTTGAAGTTTAAGTTTCACGTTGACGGTCACATCGCACCGTCATCGCAGACTACTATGAATATTGATCTAATTCTAGTTCTAGTTGCAAAGGCTACTATCAATATTGATGTAAATCTAATTCTAATGCTACAGTGTCTAATGCTAGAGTGGTGGGCTGCGAGTGAAGACGGTTAATAGAATGCCAAGTATTGAGAAGCGACGACTTACCTGTCGGTGGTGGAAAGAGGGAAAAGGTGTTCGTGAGAAAAGTTGTCATTGATATACTGAATGCAACTCACGATCACATGCTCGTGTTTAGTAGTGGTGAAGTAGTGGTTCTTTGCTGCGGCTACCATGTGATCATGAGTTGCATTCAGTATGTCAATGATGACTTTTCTCATGAACACCTTTTCCCTCTTTCCACCACCGACAGGTAAGTCGTCGCTTCTCAATACTTGGCATTCTATTAACCGTCTTCGCTCGCAGCCCACCACTCTAGCATTAGACACCGTAGCATTAGAATAACTAGAATTATATCAGTATTGATAGTAGTATGTAGTATTTGCGAAGACAGTGCAACCGTCAACGCGAAAACATTCGACATGAGCCAAATAATCTATAATACAAGTGTAGACGAAGATATAATAAAATTGCATACGCACATTCAATAAAGATAAGCAGTGTACGCTGTTTACTTGGTTATCAATCTGACTATATACCCCAGGACCATTATGTCTGTGCAGGTCCCTGTAACCCATGATGTCACATACCTGTCACCATGCCCAGGTTGGTCTTAATTTAATCATTTATGCATATCTAGGCCTTCCTACCCAATTAGCAGCCATCATGGTGACAATTTTTTATTGTTTTTCAATCCGAACCCATGTTTCCAAATGGCTTGATGACCAATTGTCAAGGTCACGAAGCTAGAAACCCAATGTCGTCAAGATGTGCATGAGTGAGTTCAACCTTAATCCAAATGTGACTCCAATCCGTATTGTCTAAAATAGCACCCATTCATTTTTCCCATGCCCTTGCAGGCAGTCCCCCCACCTGTCAACTGCATTGCATATATATCGCCCTTCACGGCGCCTGACAACAGGGTGCGCTCACCTCATTCCTACGACAGCTTCCCATTAATACAGCTCTTCCCTCGAGCGAAAAACAAAAGCCCACGGTCATCAAGTTGGTCTACACTATTACAAATAAGGCTAGTATCACGCCAGGAGTTAGGTCCCTTCTGTATATAGTGCAAGGGGGGGGGGGGGACTTGTGGTAGATTCAGTCCCTACTCCTGCAACCAGTGTGAGTTGATAACCCCAAACCCCTGTAGCGAACACTGAACTGACTGTCAATGATTTAGCATGCTTCCTGCTCAAACAGAAAGCTGCTTTGTAAGTTCAGGCTGTCGCCCTGCTCGTCATGAGTAAAATTCCGTGGTTCTACAACCTGCATTCATGACCGGATTAGGCATACTGCACAAGAAACATCCCTGTACAAGGTGCCAGACCAGGTGTCCCTTGTGCGAAAGTTGGCATTTGGTCCACGTTGTCCTCCAGCTTCATGGCATTTTGTGCCCTGCTCTTTTTCGCCTACCTGGTAGACTTGGCTTCCTTCATTCCATCCCCGATGCTAGGTTTTTGCAGTGTGTTAGTTTGCTTGTTCTGTATGTACGTTGTATTACTCATGTGGGGTGCAGCCCTTGGTATTGAACTCCCAATAGAGGAAGTAGCAAAGTAACACTATCTAGACCATATGTAAACATCACCTATGCAAACATTTGGCGATGACGGCAATAATCGGTGTGCATAGTTTTCATTATGAATGTTTGATTCTCATTTCATATTTATTTAGGTTTGACTTCGTTATCTTGGTCAAGGCATGATGCTGGCGACGACAATTGTCTTGTGCATTTTCTGCAATGCCCTGTGCCGACAATAACAATCTTACCATATAACATCTCCTGTCAGTAGCCGATTTTCACCACACACATGGCAGGAACCTACTTGTCACAGCGAAGCGTTCCCACAACTGTCTCCATCCCTACAATGCATTGCCCTGGTTCGTCGTTATCAGCCTCCACCCCATCTGCATGCTCGCACTCCTCCCGGCTGGTCCGATGCAGCATGATGGTCTGGGGTGCTTCTGGTAACTCTGGTGTGCAATGAAATTTGAATGCCTGATTTTTGACGAACATATGCAGCAGTTAGTGGGAGCGACGGTACTTCTACTACACAAGCAACACAGTATTTCAGTGCTACCTCTGGCAGTGCACTCTTGCCTTCCCTTGACACTGGTAAGTATTGTTACTACACTCAATCCACTTCGCCTCAACTCAACATTGTTCCAAGATACCAATATCCAGTCTTCTGCTAGCTCAGGCAGTGAGTATCTACTTTGTTCAATCTATTTCGCCTCAATCGAATGTCGTTCCAAGATACCCAGTTGTCTTTGGTTAATCTCGAAGCCCACATCATTAGTATAGTGCGGCGCCACTTAGCAGATTTCCAGGGGCCGATGGATGAGAAATTCTGCGATGATATTGAATGTGTAACTGCGGATGCCATTGGTTTAGCTTTTGGAATCATGCAGAGGTGCATGAGAAGGGTAGGGCATCCTTTGTCTTGACTGTGTCTCTGCTTAGTGCTTCCTTGACAGCTTTCTGAAGTTGCTCCCCCACATAATGACAACTCCTGCTGATTCCACCCAGGTCTGTTTCTCCACCCTCCTATGTTATGTTCTATCTAAGATAATGTGCCAGCAGCAGGGGTGAACAGAATCAGTAGTGTCGAAGAAATTGTTCATTCCTGGTGCATGGTGCCAATCAGGATGTCTGTTGTTAGATCAAGGTACAACCAATAAGAAAAATACAGAGAAGCATGGCGTTCGCAACCAGGCAACTAACTCCACACAATGAGAATGCCAGTCATGATTGATTGATCGGAAACAATGATGCGGGTAACAATAACCTGCCCATCTCATAAATACTCTCATAAATTCCTCCCAGTGACTGAATCAAACCGAATCCCCATGCCTCCTGTCAGGTCGCAACACACAAGGTCTCGAATCCATTCCCCCCCTTGTTCCCCACCCGGTGGAGATTTTACCCTTGTTATCCTCGCAGGCCAAGATGGTGTATCAGCAGGTCTGGCGTGTCATAGTGGTAGTGGAGCAAGAAATGAGCCCCATGAGCCGTCAGACCTCTTTAGAGAATAGAAAGGAGCTATGTAGGGCGCAGTCACCCCAGTCCAGCCAGATGTCTGCTCAGGATACACCCAAATCGCCTCGGCCACAGTTGCCTGATCAGGATACACCCAAATCGCCTCGGTCACCAAAGACAGTCAGTTTCACCAGTGTTGATGTTGGGGAACCACGATCTTCGCCTTCACCAGTCAGACTCCTCACTCACCAGCCTCGAGTCTATTGAGCTTACCACTAAAATTCGGAAACCACCTGGCGAGGTAGGCCACCCAGGAAGGGGTGGATACAACCTTGAGGAGCACTTGCGATGGAGTGACGATGAGATGCATAAACTCAAGGTATGTACGTTGTTGACGATGTGCTTCATTAACTAAGGTAAGACCTGGCAGCGAGTCATCCACACTGCAGTGAAGAAGTATCTCGATACAACGAAAAGCAGGAGCTACCAGGATTTCAAGGCTGTTCAGAAAGTCACAGGCATTGTAGGTTATTTATTGTGTCCGGAGGGAATTTACTCACTCATTTTAGGCCAGGCAATGGTTCCCACGACTCGAGGACTACGAGCACTGTTGGCCTGTTATCAATATGATCCACCTTTGTCTCAAGTACCTTTCATCAAGGCACCGGCAAAAGATAAGAAGAGACTCCTCACCCGAGTGAACTGTCTGACTCGAACTGTAGGTGAGTAGTCAATGTGCTGGATACAGCCAACCCCAATAACTTGTACCTTTGTGCCTAGAATCTATCATACGTGTACATCTTGCACAAACTTACAGCTATAACCCACATACCCACTTATATGCCCTATTGTTTAGATGACTGCACGTCATCTTGCATGTTGTCTCGTATGAATGTGATGACATTTTCATTTTGGAATACTCTTTAGAGCACGTGATAACATTGAAATTTCCATGGCACGGTTATATCAGCGGTAAGCTTACGCCACCTAACGGGAGCACGTGAGCGTGAGTTGCGTTCAGTATATCAACAACGAAATTTCTCACAAACACTTTTTCCTTCTTTCCACCACCTACAGGCAAGTCGCTCGTCACTTCTTAGTACTCAGCAATCTATTAATCTTCTTCGCTTGCAGCCCACCACTTTAGCGTTAGACACTGTAGTATTAGAATTAGAATTACATCAATATTAATAGTAGTCTTTGCGAAGACGGTGCGATGTGACCATCAACACGAAACTGATGAGTACTGTAGAATTTCAATAATATGAGTGTAGATGAAGATATAATAAAATTCATATGCCTGAGGAAGCAACAATATGACGTGGCATTCAATAAAGATAAGCACAAAGTATGCTGCTTACTTGGTTATCAATCTGACTACATACTCCAGGACCATTAATAATTATCTGCAGGTCCCTATAACCCATGATGTCGCATACCTGTCACCACACACAGGTTGGTCGCATACTAACTCTGCGTACATGTTTAATCTAATTAATTAAGCATACCTAGGTCTTGCTACCTTTTTAGCGGCCATCGTGGCGATAATTTTTAATTGTTTTCCAATCTGAATGCGTTTCCAAACCACTTGACGACCAATTGACAAGGTCGTGAAGCTAGAAACCCAACGTCGTCAAGATGCACATGAGTGAGTCCAACGTTAATCCAAATATGGTTTCAATCCATATTGTCTAACATCTACCATATTCAATTCGTCAATAGATCATTGTAGGACTACATTCATTTTATAGTTGTGTATCGACCAGTGGCAGTTGTTCTTATGCTACTCCATAGTGCCAGCCTGTTGGCGGCCTTGTTCTCAACTCATGTATGCTGACAAATTTTCTTTATATAGGATCTTGTTTTTCATGATGTATGAATCGTAGCGGAGGATGAACAGCGCTTGGCAGGGTCTGTGTTTCATTGCAAGTATGTACCAGTCAATGGCAATTTGTCTTGTTCTTCTTCCCATTCTAGGATATAAAAGCGACTGCAGCCTGCCCAGTCTTGGCCATTGCCCATACTTGTTCTTGTGCTGTGACACAGATATTCCTCTACTGCTTCATTTGTGAGCTCACTGTCTATCGTTCTAGGTATGACTACATAGTGGCATATGTGAATGTTGTACTAATACAATTACAGGTTGCTGTTATGCCTGCCTCACCCATCCTGAAGTGGTGCACCTGCGAAGAATGTGTCAGGGAAAATGGCAGGGGTGTTCTCATGGACTCCCATTGTTTGTCGCTGCATCTGAAACACATAAAACAGCGAAGTGAATCCCCTCGAGCAGACCCCCATACCCACCGAACACTACCTTGTGCTCTAGATAGAACTCTTCCGGAACACGTACTTGAATCATCAGAATTAGCCTCTCCTTCAGATGCCCTAGCTAGCCATTTAGTGGCTCTTACCATCACCGATGATGGTCCGAACTCCATGTCCCGTGCTTCTAAAATGTGGAACTCCTGTGAGGAATTCCAGCAGATGGGAGCCACTGCTGACATCCTGGCTGGTCCGCGAAACCCTATTTCTATCACTTCCGGTATCACCCAATCTCTCCACCATCTCATGAATACATCGAGCTTCTCCTGCGCCCCCATGAGTGCTCAGCCACCATTATCGACTGCCAAAGCCATTCCACATGATACCCATCCTCAGATCAGGAATGTTTGTCAGCAAACTAGCAGGGCTATGAAGGTTTTATCAAATATTGACTCCCGAATACAAAGATGTTCCCACCTTCTGCTGGATGGACAAAGTTTTACTACCATCAGCAGAGAACTTAGTCTGCTCCACCAGGCAACCAACGACATAAAGTGCCGTGCCAATTGCATAGTTGCGTGCAAGAGAGTGGTCATCAAAACTATGGATGAGCTAGAATCCATACTCAAAAGTAGGCCTGTGACACCATCCCCTGAAGACTTTCAGCCTGTACCTTTTGTGGCCGGTGTGTAGTGATTCTAGCCCTAGCCCTAGCTCTGAACTCAAGGTGACATTTCTGGCAGATGACCAATATTGCTCTCCCATCAATCATATGGACACTATCGCACAAGTCACACTGGTCATTGGTGTCATCTGCAGTATAGTAATGGATGTCGGTACTCGGGCAGGCAACTTTATCATGAACACCCTTTCCCTTCTACTGTTCCCTTGCCTTCAAGGATACCAGTGGACAGCTTAGTGTCTCTCATGAAAACATCCTCGCACAAATCCCATTGTCTATCGCCAGCACCCTCGGCAAATTCAAGCTCATGGGTAACACCATTCCTTATGCTATCTGCAGTTGTCATTGTACATATGCACCAACATATGTGAATGACTCCAAGATCGCAAGTTACCCCCCCCACTGTACCAATCATCCTACACCCAAGACTGTCTGTGGTGAACCGCTGCTGGACGAACATTCTGATGGTCAGCTTCATCCCAAGAAAGTTTTTCTGTACCATGACTTCAAAGACTACCTCGCCAGCCTCCTTTCCCATCACGACATCGAAATTATGATGGACACAGCTTGCAATGACCTCGCAAAGTCGCTCCACTTGTCACCACCTTGCTTTGTCATGAATCCCTTTGAAGCTGAGTTCCTCCACCAGTTTACAGGTCCCCAACCAGGTAAACTCTTCGTTGACAGGGGAGATGAAGGCCGCTATGCTTTTGTGCTACATGTCAATTTCTTCAACCCAGAGGGGATGCGTCAGCATGGGGTGACCATATCTTCAGGAATCATATCCATGGCTTGCCTTAATTTACTGCTGGACATCCGCTACAAGCCAGAAAACCTATACTTAGCTGGTACATTCTCATTCACAAGAGTGTCCGGAGAATGAACACTCATGTTCAGCAGGTATTATTCCTGGCCCAAAACAGCCATCCCTAGAAAAACTTAATCATTACATACGTCCCTTGATCGACGACTTGCTCGTTGCTTGGGAACGTGGCATCCACTTCTCAAAAACAGCTAAATTCCCTGATGGTCGGGTCACTCGCAGTGCCATCGCACTCATCGTGTGTGATCTTCCTGCTGCTTGTCATCTGGCAGCACTCGCTGGCATCGGCAGCCACTTTTTCTGCAGTGTGTGCGATTGCTATCATAAGAATAACTATGGTAGAGTTGACCGTGAGCATTGGGCTCCCCGGGATCAAGATAAACTTCATTTTCATGCTGAGCAATGGCAGGATGCAGTCTCATCTGCAGACCAAGAGCGACTCTTCAAAGATCATGGTGTATGCTACTCGGAACTTTGGCGTCTTCCTTACTGGGATCCCACACATCAACTTGTCATCGATTCAATGCATTGCATTCTGGAGGGGCTGGTCCAACACCACGTACGCACTCTGTTGGGGTTATCTACAGAAGATTCAGTGACAACAACCTCGAAATTCCCTGCCTTCCACCACAACTTCATCCAAGCTGACCCAACCACTACCTCGCTGACTCGGAAGGAAATCATTCAAGTATCTGCGATTCATACACTGCTCGTTTCTCCGATATCTTCACAAGACACACCTCTGGCTTCAGCGTTCACAACTCTTCAGGAATCACTCTACTGCAAAAACTTCAACGCGCTCAAATTTGTCTGTCAGAGTCTGGGCTGTGCACCATTGAAGACTGGCAGAGTGTATAAGATTGCTTATGCCAAAGCTTTAGTTGAATGGGTGAGGTGTCGTCTTTCTTCCACAAAGATTGCGATTGTTTATAGTCTTCTTAGTGCCAAACGATGCCATTGTTTTCCAGCGTGCAAAAGCATGTACGAGATCGCTATGACACAACAAAGATCTTAGGTTGCATCCACAATGTTATATGGAACACAGTACTGCCATCATGGTTCAGTTCAGCACCAGCTAACTTTGGCCATCCATCCGCTGGAACAATTAAAGCAGATGAGTGGCGGACACTCATCACTGTTCATATCCCTCTTGCCCTCATCAGCTTGTGGGGAGCACCTGATGTCGATGAACTGAAGCCAGGTGACAAGTTTATTCTGGATCATACTATGGACCTTGTTTCCCTGGTCAACATCAGCATGCTCCCGGATAATGAGTACTCAAAGGGCTAATGCATACTGCTCGTACATTGCACGTTATGTCGGGAACCTGAAACAAGTACATCCGACATTCAACTTGCAGTCCAAATCATCATGCTGCCTTTCATATATATGACTACCTTATCCTTTTTGGACCCATCCATTCATGGTGGACCTTTCCTTTCGAGCGCTTAATTGGTGTTCTCCAGCGTCTCCCCACCAACCACAAATCCAGTGAGTCAAACAATGTCAATTTCGGGAAGACATTATTCTCATTTCATACAGGTGAATTGGAGGCAACAATGCTATGTTCCTATCTCAGGGGTGCACGCCTCTGCAGCTGGCTCTCCCGCCCGGATTGTCCCAATGCAGTCCAAGAATGCAAGGTCCTCTTAGATCATGCTTATGGCAATGACAATGAATATGACTCTGATTGTTCCTGGACAAGGAAGTCAACCGCTACCCCTCCAGACCTGTACAACTTGATTCATAAACAGGATGTGATGCTGCAGGCCCATATCAGATATGGCGGAGTGGTCTATAGCTGCATTGCCACTCATGTAGGAAACTCTCTGATTATGTTTCACCCATCAGGTGATGGATTTCACTTCTGGTTCCTGTGGTACTTGCTCTGATTCACCTGTCAGGCAACTGATCTTTGCCTCCAGTTCCTGCAAGCATCAAATACATATATGAACAGGATGGATGGTCCACATTTGCTGTCTGCCAGCAGTGTCCCCTGGTTTTGAACAAAGGCACAAATGACCCCTTTGCATGCTACCCACATTTCCCAGCAAAGACCTACAGCCACATGCTTTCCACAACACTGGAGAAAGTCGAGGTATCATGGGTTATGAGTCACTGCGCATGGTGGCCGATATCTGATGACCATGTTGTCATTCTTACGTTGAGTCGAGTGAGTGAAGCTCTGTCTCATGCCACTCTGATTTGACTGTTGAATTCTTGCAATGATAGGACTGACAAATGTCAAGGCATATGGAAAAAAATTTGTAGGATCTACTTAGGGAAATATGATGACCATGTAACAATAGCTATGATAATTATAGGATGATCATGCTGGGCGACTGTTTTGCGACAACAGGGCGATCATTGGGCAATGAACAGGTGACTGTCAGGTGATTAGTATAGACAGTGGTGAAACTTCAAGTGCAAGCATGTGTAGGAACACTAATTCTAGACTTGAAGTAAAATCTGTTACTGGAATTTTGGCAGCACTTCGTGTATTGTCAGTTATGCAAATTAGGACAAAACTTAAAGTTTCACCCCACACTGCACGTGTTGACATAACTTCCTATCTTGGACAACATCTGCTATTCATCCATACTTATTGTTTACACAATGATTAGATGTTCACTCTGACTTCAAACCTGAGCAAACGTGTAGAAAAGGATCTAAACTTCAAGTATGGATTTTTTCAGTATGCCATCACAAACTCTAAGTGTGAGATTGACATATTGTATTACATATAACAGGGTACTATATAGTGGAAAACTCGCTGTGCCTCTCGGACAGGCTCGCATGCATCAAATTCACACTCAAATATGTGCCATTCGAGTCAGCGGACCTCTGGTCACACTTTGTGGATAGTAATGATGGAGATTGGGCTCATTTTACCTCAGCCGTAGTCCAGCTGTACCCGGAGCTGGAGGAATCCTGCAGGGACCAGTTTTTCAGACTCAGAAGTGTGTTCAAAGGCTCGGACACCATCTCGATATCTTCTTTGGGCAAGTATTTTCGCAGTTATTGTCATTATTTGGCATCGCTTGCAAAGCAGAAGAAGCCATCATCCCATGTAGCTTCGGCTTTTATTAGTGGGTTCCCGCCCAAGTTCAGACACGAGGTACTCAAGTATCTTGACTCGCCAAGTTGAAGGGTTACTGTATCTAGCCTTATGGCTTCAGTTAAACAGGTTCTCGCACTCGGAAATGGCGTCTGGAAGTGCAGCAAGGCCGACAGTTCACGCACGCAGCCATCACTCACCTCACACAAGGTGCAAATTCCAATACACTGCAAGCATTTCACAATTTTTCATGATCAAGCATGTTGAAAAAAATTGAAGGAAGAGATACCATGTTATAATGGATGTTTTCACAGACCAAATCCAAAAATAATATTTCATTTTCTTTGTCTTCTCCACCAGCAAACATGAATTGACAGTAATTGTCATTAGACTAAAAGCTAATGGTCATTACCATCAATTAACATTTATTGGTGGGACATGCAAAGAAAATAAATTATTACTTTTGGATTTCTTGTTTGAAAACATCCAAAATAACATTGTATCTCTTCTTTCAATTTTTTTCAACATGTTCTGTTATGAAAAATTGTGAAATGCTTGCAGTGATAATGTTTACCATATTTCATGACATTATAGTAAACATTAGTTTGAATAACTTCAAAATAATATGTATGACATAATGACAGAAATATCTTAAATCAAATCTGTGTAATGTTCATGTCCTGTATTGTGCAATATGCTTATGGAATCAAAATTTTCAGTCAAAATATCTCTTGCATATGTGTCATTATTGGTTTAATATATTTACATAATTATAGGAGCAACATTACTTGAAAACTAGCCTTGCAATATCTGAATGGCAATTAGTCATATTGTTCAAATAATGTTTCCTGTATGTCATCACCACATATTGGAATTGGCATCTTGGATAATGCTTGAATTATGTGCTATGAAATATACAAGAGTTATTTAAAACCAAATCCATCATATTGTTCAAATAATGTTTAATTGGCATCTCATATGAAAACATTATTTGAACAATATGACTGATTTTGTTTTAAATAACTCTTGTATATTTCATAACGCATAATTCAAGCATTATCCAAGATGCCAATTCCAATATGTGGTGATGACATACAGGAAACATTATTTGAACAATATGACTAATTGCCATTCAGATATTGCAAGGCTAGTTTTCAAATAATGTTGCTCCTATAATTATGTAAATATATTAAACCAATAATGACACATATGCAAGAGATATTTTGACTGAAAATTTTGATTCCATAAGCATATTGCACAATACAAGACATGAACATTACACAGATTTGATTTAAGATAGTTCTGTCATTATGTCATACATATTATTTTGAAGTTATTCAAACTAATGTTTACTATAATGTCATGAAATATGGTAAACATTATTGGAATTTGCACCTTGTGTCAGACAATCATTCCCCCCACCGTCCGTACTCATTCTGCTTCTTCTGCGGACTTTCAGGCCATATTCGAGCAGGTTGCCATTCGTTCAAGTTGTATTTAGCTTCGAGAAAGTGTCTACTTGTCGACGGCCGCGTTGTTCTACCTACAGGTCAGGAAATCCCGCGTGAAGTTGCCGGACGGACTCTACGAGACCGTCTCGACAACTGGTCTTCGTTGACAAGCCAGTTCGAGACTCGTAGGGGCTCATCGCCCGCTCGCTCGCTTTCGCCCACAGCCGCACCCTCTCGAAGCATGTTCGACGCACCATCGCGCATACCCGCTCAGTCGAGCATCATATCTACTCAGTCCCTACCTACTCTCCAGCCCGAGCCAGTAGTACCCGACCCACCAGCCATTCAGTCTCGTCGCTCGTCAGCTGAGCGCTCTCGCAGCTCACCGCACGCGCAGCCACAGTCAAGGTGGCCATGTGGCCGAGGCCGGTCGCCCTCGCGTCCTCGTTCACGCTCGCGCTCGCAGACTCGAACGGGTTCGTACACATGTTCAAAAGATGATTTCATATCAGTCCAGTCGTATGCCTGCAGCTCGAAGCAGTATCGCGCTCGAAGGCGCTCGTATTCACACTCGACCAGTAGCTCAATCTGTTCTTTTTCCTCGTCCTCATCCTCGCGCTCTCGTTCGTGTTCAAGGAAGGTGCACTCATTCGTCTGTTCCAAGCCAAAGCGGTCGCACAGCCGCAGTCGCGCGCCCCGGCGCTCTCGAAGAGCGCGTTAATGCTCTGTGTCACATGAGTTCTTTATGTTTTTCGTTTCTTTTTTTGCTTATGGATCCTACAGTATCTAGTATGGATTGACCTACATCATTATGCGGAGTTTTCGGTACATTATACTCGTTTAGCTTTTCTTTTCTTTTTTTGTGTTTTACTCCCCCAGGCTCGAGTCCCCCACAGAACGCCATTTAGCATCGCACCCGGCGCCTTCCCATGCTCCACACAACGCCTCGCATCTGCGGATACAGGTCTGACGAGGCCACTGTCGACACCGCTCGTCGCTCGTCAAGACAAATGCTACCTCCCTCGTACCGAGCGCATATCTCGCTCGTTTTTGCGCCGCGCCTCTCGATTTTTGGAAGGCTCGTACTACTCGATGTTAGCTCTCTGTCGGTACAAAGCTCGTTTGCATGCGCCCAGCCGTTCAGGAGATATTCGCGTTCTTGTGGATAGGTCCATTCTCAGGGTCCTGTGGTCGTATCTCGCTCGTTTCCGCGCCGCGCCTCTCGCCTTTTGGGAAGATGGTATCCCACGACGAATGCTCCATGTTGATATCAGGATTGTTCGGATAGGTCGAGTAGTTCCGGAGATATTTGCATTTTTGTGCGAAGGGCCGTCCTTGAGGTCATGCCATAGTCGCTCACGCAGTTCCGCATCGCTCCTCTCGCTTTTCGGGTCGTTCATTCCTCTCGCCGAACCCTTCCTGGGGACACCTGCTTTGTAAAATTCCGCGCAACCGTTGTTGAGATATTGGCGTTTTCGTATCCAGATGGTTTCGAGAGGGTTTCGCGTGTAACTCGGGATCGGCTGATCCAAACGGCGTATCTCCTCGTTCTTCCTGTTCGTCTACGGGCCCTCTACCGTCTCCCGGAGTTTCGTGTTGATTGCCCCAGCCATTGTTGTGCAAGTTGACCCCTTCTCCCCACCCTCGAAGTCCTCTTGGCGTATCTCGCGCATCCGAGCGCCGTCCCTCTCGCTTTTCTGGCAGTCCGTTCCGCTCGCATAGCCCTTTCCAGGGACGCCTCTTTTGTCAAATTCCACGCAGACATCGTCGAGATACACTTGTTTTTGTGGTTAGAGGCACTTTCGGACAACTTTGCAAATATCTCAGGCCCGCGTAGACGGATTCCCTCCGCCTCTTTTTCAGCGCGTTCGTTACGTTCTCCTCCATCATTACTGGCAGTTTCACTGCGTCCCAAGCGTCCGTCGTTGGTCTGCAGTGTTCCCTTTTCAGTCAACAACGCTGAATGCATGATAACTCGCCCATTTCACCGCCGGACCTCTCGCTTTTCGGGGACCTTGTACTACTCGTCGAGGGCTTTATGACGGTATATCATGCATCACTCTCGCTGCTGCCGTTGTGGAGATACGCGCCATTTTGTAGTTGCAGACACCTTAGGACAACTCTGCGAGTATCTCGCCCGTTTCTCGACGGGATCTCTCGCTTTTCAGGATCCCGATGCCACTACTCGACAGCTTCAGAATGGTAGCTTTTCCGTCATCGTCGCTGCAGAATTCGTGGCTACATTTGGGTTTTGGTGAATGAGGGTACCCTTGGGCGGATTTGTGGATATCTCAGGATCGGACGCGCGGATCCTCTCCGTTCATTTTGCAAGGTACTCACTGCATTCCCTTCTGTCATCATATCTCGTATCGCGGCATTCCGAGCAGCCATTTTTCGCCAACGTGTTGTTGTTTCGCCCCCTCCTTTATGACCTTGGGTTCCTGTGTAGTCGAGCCGCCTTTGGGTTGACTGGGGACAGTCAAGATCTCGAGTACCCCTGGGATGTAGGGAATGCAATTTCACTATCAGGGGAATTATTTTATTTTGCTTATTTTACTTGGTTTTCATTCTAGATACTTTTTTCTATGAGTTGCACTTGGATTTTCGCATTTTTGGTTGCTTAGTTGGCAGTAGTGCTACTTGTGTACAGTTTTTCCTTACAAAAAAATAGAGACGAGCTACCACAGACTGAGAGATGAAATTGAGCAGGTCATTTCCCTGCACCCAGACAGCCCAGAAGTCCTTAGACATCATATCAATCCAGTCCCAGGCTATAGGAGCCCCTTTGGTCCTACTTGTTCCCTCAGACCCACTCCCATCATTCTCAGCACCCTCTCCTCTCAGTATTATCTCACTTCCTACAGTGGAGATGGTTCACAACTGACAGGAGTTGGGTGGAGTTGGTGCGGAGTGAGTGGATGACTGGCAGAAAAGATTGCGGAGTGAGTAAGGACTTAGAACGAACGCATGGTTATGACACAAACAGATAATCAGGACTTGGTCATCATGATTGCCACCACTTCCTGGTCAGATAACTGATAGTCTGCCAAGTTTGTGATGTCCAGGTTGAGTCCAGACCAGAGACCAAAGCAGGTGTGAGGCCAAGGGGTCAGGGTCAGAGGGGTAGCAGGGGTACAGAGGGGAGGACTGATTGGACTTAGCAACTGATGACACAGCACTATTCCCTTGTGTGGGTTTCAGTCTGAGTCCAAGGCCAGTTATCAGAGTGAACTTAGTTGATTTCAGACTGGAGAGTACAGGGCAAGTATCTAAGAGTTTATATACTAGAGACAAACTATAGCATGGAGACTGGTAATGCCAGTCTTGCAATGATTGCTAAGCTGATTGGTAAGACTAGTATTAGTAAGGTATGACTAAGGGGACTGGAGACTGGGACAGAGAATGAGGACAGACTGGGGACAAGGCTGGGTTGGGCCAGGGTCAAGGCATGGTCATGACAGTATCCCCCTCTTAGGGGTCAAACCCATGAGACCCCTACAAGAGTGGTAGGCTGAGTCCAAACCTTGGCTGAGTTTGAAAAAACTGATACTTGTGGCCTGCTAAGCCTTTTGCATCTTTCCTTTGTATCTTAACCATCATGTCCACCTTGAGACTGATCACCATGACCAATGACAACAGTGAAGGCTGGGTCATGATTGACTGGACCCAGGTGTTGGACAATGCCATCAAGTACAACACTGACAATGAAGAGGAGATGATGAGGGCCAAGGCTAAAGAGAGGAAGTGGCATAAGGCAGCTGAGCAAGCCCAGTGGGAGGATCAGGCATGGCTGGAGGCTGAAAGAGTGGAGAGAGAGCAGATTGAGGCCCAGAGGGTAGTGCATGAGGCTGAAGAGGAGAGGGCATGTGAGGAGGAGGAGAGGCACAGGGCTGAGGAGGAAAAGGAGGCCAAGTAAAAATGTAAGGCCAAGGCCAGGAAGGGTGACAAGGCTGGGACCAGGGGTAATGAGGCCAGTGGAGAGGTGATGAAGGTGGTGATGGACCCTGGGTGAGTACCCTTCCAACCTCATGTGTTTTCCTATTAACATCCTTTTTAGCTGTACCCATTGCACCTGGGCCAAAGCTGTCTGTGAGTTCCTTGTAGATGGTAATAAAAAGTGAGTTGCCTGTGTTCAGTGCAACCAGTCCAAGGGCAAATGCTGGTGGCCTGGTGATGGCAAGGACACTGAGGCTGGTCCAAAAGCCAGGAGAGTCAATAAAGGAAAGAAGCAGAAAGCTGATAAGGAGAATGCCAAGGCCAGGCCCAGCAAACAGAAATGGGCAAAGACAAGCATGAGGTCAATCAAGGTCTTTGACCTTGATGAGCCCAAGGCTGGTGGGAGCAGACTGAGGGAGACTGGCACTGACAGGTGCTTGGGCTTGGAAGACAAGCTTGAGTGCCTTATTGATGCAGTGGGGCTGATTGCCAACAATCTGGCCAGCCTTTTCAAGCTTCACAAGACCACAGTTGAGAACTCAGGCCAGATCACTGACACACTTGAGTCCCTGCTCAATGAGTTGTACAGCTTTAGGATGGCAGTACCCCCTTCAGACTCAGGCTTGTCTGAGCTCAACTCTGATGAGCTGCACAAGGAGGCCAACTGGCTGAAGGCCCACAGCAAGGAGGAGGAGGAGGAGGCCAAAGGGGAGGATGAGACCATGGCCAAGGCCAAGTAGTACCTATAGTGCAGTGCCTTTGTTACCCTTCCTGCAAATGTCATGTGTTTGGTGTCTGGTGTCTAGTGTTATATGGTAAAATAAGAGAAACAAGAAAAAAAGGAAAGCAAGGTAAGTAAGAGATCAAAGGAAACTATATACTGGCAGAGAACAGAAAAGAAACTGAGGCCAGTTGAGGCCAGTCCTCATTGGTATGGGCCAGGTTTACCAGGGTAGTGGGAGTGGAACTCTTGTATGAGTTCAGAAGCATTGTCCAGCTCTGTAGCTAGTACCCAAGTAGTTTCTTCATTGTTCCCCTTGTAGCTGGTCCACCAGACTAAGTATTGAAGCCCACACCAGCAATGCCAGTCGACCTTGGAGTCAAGGATTTCAGCCACCTCAAACTCTAGCTCACCATCAACCTCAACTGGTGGGGGTGGTGGCTGAGTCTGGTATGGGATGATATTTGGGATGGCTGGTTCAAGTTGGGAAAGGTGAAATACTGGGTGTACCATGTGCATTGAGTCCTGCAGGTGCAGAGTAAATGAATGGGTACTGGCTTGAGCTATGACTGGATATGGTCCAAGGTTTTTCTCTGAGAGTTTCTTGGACAGTCAGGTTGACTGGAAGTACTTGGCTTTGACATATACCTGGTCACCAACCTTGAAGTCTGGAGCTGGCATGCATTTAGCATTGGCCAGGCCTTGGTATCATTGTTGGGCAAGGGTCATCTCCTCATGTAGGTATTGGTGCAGTGAGTCTAAGTCAACTGCATAGTCCCAAGCCCAAGCAGAGGTGAGGTTGTGCTCTGGGTATACTGAGGTGTTAGGGTGGTAGCCCTCATTAGCAAAGAAGGGGGAGACACTGGTAGTGGCACTAGGGGCATTATTATATGGGAACTTGGCCAAAGGTAAGAGGTTGGACCAGTTGTCCTGTTGATAGTTACAGTAGACTTGGAGATACTGTTCCAGTGTCTGGTTAGTCCACTTGGTCTGGCCATCACCCTTGGGGTGGTAGCCTGAGGTGAAGTGTAAGTGCATATCTAAGGCCTTACCAAGTGACCAGAAGAAGTGAGACATGAGCTCCAAGCCTTGGTCTGAGGTTACATGGGCCAGTACTCCATGCTTTGAAAAGACATGGAGTAGGAAGAGTTTGGTGAGTTCTGGGGCTGTGATGGTGTCGTGGGTAGGGATGAAGATGGCCTGCATGGAGAGCTGGTCAACTACTATGAGGATGGCTGTGAAGCCAGATGAGGCTGGGAGCTGCTCAATGAAATCCATAGATATGGAATTCACAGTTTCTCCAGCACCAGAAGTTGTTTGAGAAGGCTGTAAGGCTGGTGGCAGGTGTCAAGTATGGGTTTACACTCAGGTGATCAGGCTTCAAGACCAGGAGACAGGGGCTAAGTCTGGGTGACCAAAGTCAAGGCTGGGAGACAGGGGCCAAGTCTGGTTGGACCAGAGTTGAGGCCAGAGGTCAGGGGCTAAGTCTGGAGGACCAAACTTAAGGCTGGGACCGTGGGAAACCTGCCGGTCTTGGAGTGCGCACAGGGGGAAGCAGGTCCAGGGTTGGATCTACCTCCCTTGGTCTCAGCTTATGTGCTGTACCCTTATGCAAGCCAGGGAGAGGTCTGGGACAGGGGGCCAGGGATAGCCTAAGGCTCAGCCTTAGCTATAGGGTAGACTCAGGGTGTAGCATGGAGTTGAGGGTAATACTAAATTGATATTCTGACTGGGGTGCTACAAAGTATGTACAGGGGTTAAATACACAAGGCCAGTCCAGGGTAACAAACATAAAGCCAGACTTGTTAATAAGCTATTAGTGAGATGATTAGCAAGGTGAGGACAGCCACAGTGGCTGTGCCAATGCTAATAGCCAAAGTCCAGGTGACCAGCATAACTGGAGTCAGACACAGGATTTGTACAGTAAGCAGAGTCAGACAAAAGGACTAGACTAAATATAGTACAAACAAAGGAAAACAGACCGGAGTTATGTCTGGGTGACCTGGACATGGACTTGGGAGGACTGGGGTGGAGCAGCGCAAGGCCAGAAGGCCAGAATGGACCGGAGATAGGGGTAAAAGACCAGACTTGAGTTATTCAGGCCAGAGTTGGGTTATCTAGGACTGGAGTTGGGTTTTCTAGGCTGGACTAGGACCAGGCTTGACCGGAGATAGGGGCTAGGGGTCCAGACTGGACTGGGACTGAGTCCAAGAGTCATGGATATGACAGGGAGGAAAGTCAGGCAAATGAATCCACTAGTGAGGTGCTCATCAATGAAAGTCTGGAGAGCTTGGAGCTCAACTGGGGACAGC